GTCGGCGGGTGGGGGCACTGGAGCTGCAAGGAGTGTTGTGGGAGGGCCCTGAGGCAGTGGGCTTGCGGCCATGCACTCAAGAGCTTCTGTGACCAAGTGCAGAGCAGGCGGCAGGGTCCTTAGAGCCGTCAAGGTGTCCCGTCTACTACAGCTGTGACCCTGGCGAAATTCGCTGTCCCGCCTGGGCTCTGCATTTGTACAACTGCAACGCTCAAGTGACTGGAATCCAGAGTCCGGGACATCTTCGATGTTCTATGCTTTAGATGACCTCAGCTGGGACAACAGGTATCAGAAATAGAGGACCCTAGGGAGGGCGTTCCAGAGCGGCAAGATCCCGGGCTAAGGCGGAGCTCAGGGGCAGGGCCCTTGCCTAGCAGGTGGGAAGCGCTGCTCCAACCTCAGTACTACGACCCTGAAGGGGAAGTGGGCGGATCCTACAGGGTACAGGATCTGATTGGGTAGAAAGGATGATGGACAGGTAACAATCAACCACAGTTCTGCTGTGCAGGTGGAGAGATTTTGTGAGCCAAGTGTGGATTGTATGGCAAGCTGGGCAAACCTCTGCCGACAGACCCCTCTCCAAAGGCACAGCTGCAACAACTTGTATGGACAAGTTCTGTAAAGCTAAACTTTCTTTCTTTCTTTCTTTCTTTCTTTCTTTCTTTCTTTCTTTCTTTCTTTCTTCCTTCCTTCCTTCCTTCCTTCCTTCCTTCCTTCCTTCCATTTTTTTGAGATAAGCTCTTGTCATGTATTCCAGGCAGGTGTTGAGCTCACTTTGTAGCCCAGGCTGGCCTCCAACTCGTGGCAATCCTCCTGCATCGGCCTCCCAAGTGCTGAGTTTCCAGGTGTGTGCCACCATGCCCATCTGAAGCTAAATTTTACATCTTTTATTAAGTTATGTCAATTATCAAGTCAGGTCATTTTGATTTCAGTATCTAAAGAGTGTCACTTCACCTTTAATTTTCATGTATGAGAGAACAATGGTTTATGCTGAGGGCTTTTTTTGTCTCCTGGAGATTAAACCCAGGGCTTTTACACTGAGCTCCAGCCCCAGCATCCCACCCCCTCTTTTGAGACAGGGTGTCCTTGAGTTGCTAACTTGCCTGGGCTGAACTTGTGGTCCTCCTGCCTCAGCCTCCCAGAGGGCTTAGGGTGACAGGTGTGTGCTCCACCACACCTGGCTTAGCGTTTACAGTTTTTCACAGGGCTTCACTGGGAGGTGGTAGAGCAGCTTCCTTTACACAGGAGGCATAGGAGGTGTAGGTCATCTGGGCTGGAGATGTCCGGGGTCAGCAACTTGGGAAACTGAGGTCAGGCACTGAAGTGGTCTCCTAGTAGAAAGTTCGGTGCTAAGGTCCTAAGAGGAGAGGTGCCTGAGAAAGGCTTTGGGTGACATCCAGATGAAGAAAGGGTGGTGGGTCTCATAATGTTGAAGTCGGGGAACATGTGTGGCTCTCCAGCTTTTCCTCCATCCCAGCACCCTCCAGCACACTCCTACAGACACAGTGCCCTGTACCCAGCAGGCACACGCCACCCTGTCTGTGTCCTTTGCTACACTTCTTTTATGGGAACACCATCGTATTTGGCTAGTATAAGCCCCACAAAGAGGCAGGGTCTTGAGTGTTTTTGTTCATCACTGTATTTCTAGTATCTAGAAGAGGGTTTGGTATAAAGTAGATCAAGATACACTTGTGGGAGCTGGATGTGCAGGCATATACCTGTAACTTCAGCAGGGAGGCTGAGACAGGAGGATCACAGGTTTGAGTCTTGCCTGGACAACTTAATGAGATCCTATTTGGAAATAAAAATGAAAAGACGAGCAGGGAGGCTGAGGCAGCAAGATCACAAGTTTGAGCCCAGCCTGGGCATTTAATTACTGAGCAGCTTTTTAAAACAAAGCTCAGTGTGAAGCCCTGGGTTCAATTTCTAGTACGACAATACATTAAAGGGTTAACAAATTAAATTAAAAGGCTGGGAATCAGTTTGCAGACCAAAATTAGAGAAAAAGGAGGGCTACAAGGAAAGCCAACATTTTGGCCCTAG